GGGGGGGGGGGGTAGCTGCGGGCTGGGGGCCGCCGCGCGGACGGCGGTTCTCTGCGGGACCGGTTGGAGGCGGGGGGCTAGGGGGGCCCCGCAGCGGCCTCACCTCTGGCCCGGGCAGGGCAGCACGCGGAGCGGCCATGGCGATCGCTGTCGTGGAAGCGGAGCCGCTGCGGCGGCGGCGGCGGCGGGGCCTCCGAGGCGGCCGCTCGGGCTCCGCAGCCCAGTCCCCGCCGATCCGTTCGCCGGCAGCCTCGCTGTGCCCGCGCTCCGCGGGGGCGCGCGGCGCGTGGGGGCGGGGTCCCCGCCATTAACTCCTTGGGCGCCGGGCCGCCTTCCCGCCACCCCGCCACGCCCTCCCGCCGCGGCACCGGAGAGAAACCGAGGCCCATCCCGGTGCCCAGAGCAGCCCTCACTGCTCTCCTGTAGCCCTTTGCCCGCTTGGCCCGACGCGTCGGGGACCATCTGGGGAGAAGGGAATGAAGGAACGAATGAAGCACGGCCGGGTCTACCCGGTCTGCCCGCTTCCCTCTTCCCTCCTCGGGCTCTGGCCATCTTTATTGGCGCCCCAGGGAGTCCTGTTCGGTCTGCTGCTGTGGCCCATGGCCCATCATCCACCCATCCATCCATCCACCCATCCATCCATCCATCCATCCATCCATCCATCCATCCATCCACCCATCCATCCATCCATCCACCCATCCATCCATCCATCCATCCATCCACTAGTTGGGACGGAAGCCCTGCTGACCTCCAAATGCCTCTGAGCCCACTTCCCAGCTGACCTTCTATCCCCTGACAGGCCCAGGATGTTGGCCCACCAGGAGAGAGGTAGAAGGCTGCATCCCTGCTCCGTGCCCCAGAGGGCAGACACCACGCCACCCCTCCCACCTTGGGCACACTGCTTTTCCCAGGTTCTTCCAAAGTGGGGGGGGGGGGTGTCATTCGATCCCCATGAGTAATGACTCTCCCAATCCCCAAATCTTGTCTTTTTCTTTTCAATGACTTGAGGGTTGGATCTGTGCCTTGGCCCTGGTCACCCAGCACCTCCCATTAGTGTGGGTCAGCTCTGGGGTCTGGACACTGCTTCCTCACTCAAGGTCATTTACCAAAGGCATTGTTAGCCCTACCCTACCACCCTTAGGCTTTGGGGATGGCCAAGGACTCATCTGGGGAAGAGATATCGCCTAGAACTCTGGCTGGCCCCAGGCAACTCTCATCCTAACCCACTTCTGGCCCAACCTAGCTCCTCACTTGCTTCTATGCACATTAACCAGGGCCTGTCCTTAAGCTCTTCCTTTTGTGTAATGGCAAGAATCAAGGCCCCCCCCCCCCCACCCACCCAACCCCAACAGCTCAGGAGAGTCTCTGAAAACTAACCAAAAGACTCATCTACCTACACGGCAGATGACAGAAGACACAGGGAACACATCAGCCCCTTCGGCGAGCAGCTGGCAAAGTCCCCTTTCAATGGCTCCTGCCTCATTGTCAAGGGGAGCTTTGAGACTGAGAGTTGGGCCCGGGGGACCTCTTCCCTGCTGGGGCTACACGGGGCAGAATATCTCCACCTCCCCGTAAGAAGTTGATCGTCAGGCCAACGGGCATTCCCCAGATAGGGAAAAGAGGTGTGGGCTTGGAGTTAGAAGTCCTAGGTTCAAATTCTGCCTTAGACACTTAATGTGATCCTGGACAAGTCATTTAACCCTTCTGGGCCTCAGTTTCCTCCTCTGTAAGATCAGGAGGTTGGACTTAATGGCCTCTAAGGTTCAGCTTGAAATCTTTGACTTTATGAACTGGGGAAAAACGGGCTGAAGGCCTTGGGGGTTGGGCTTCACGACCTCTAAGACCCCTTTCGATACCACGTCCTAGGCTATGTCACCTATGACTTTTACATCTTCCCCTAAGCCCCAGCCACCCACCCCTATCCCAGCGAACACAGAGCCCAAACACTCCCTTTGCAAAGAGGCTCTGTGTATTGGGTGCTGCAGCCAGCCCCGGGGTGTCTGTATAAATAGCGTACAAAACCCGACAACGCGGCAGCCTCATCTTAACAAAAATACTAAAAACTCATTAAAAACGGAGCCCAAGGAAGGGGCCAGGGTCGGGTCCAGTCAACAGGCAGCTCCTTCGGGTGGCTTAGTATCGTCCAAACATGTTGGTGTTGGGCTGAGGCTGGGTATCTGTAGAGATCAGAGATGATCAGGGCTGGGACAGCAAGGGGCAAGGTCAGATGGGCAAGGAGGGGCTGCTCTGAGGGGTACCTGACTTCTCCTCCCCCTCCCCATTAGGGAGAAGCCCCCAGAACCCAAGGGTGGAGCAGCATGCTCCTGAGGAAGGAGGGAGCCAGCTTACTGGAGAGCTGCTGCTGCAGCTGCCGGACCAGGGCTGCTGTCTGCTGCTGCTGCTGGGTCTGCTGAAGGCCCTGCCGCTGGAACTAAGGGGACAGGGGAGAAAGATCCTGATCACACCTGCCCTTGCATGGGGGTGTCCTCCCCGAATCCTCCTGCTGCCCGGCACTTGGCACTCCCAGCCTTCGGCCCACGCCTCCTCCCACGCTTCCCCCCATTCCTCCCTGGCCCTGCCCCTGTCCCACTCACAATGGGCTGCATGCCCAGCCCGGGCGGCTGTCCCTGAGCCTGGGGCTGTGGCACGGCGGCTACCTGGGGCTGCGGCTGTGGCTGAGGTGGCGGGGGTGCCGCCTGCTGCTGCTGCTGTTGCTGCTGCTGCTGCTGCTGCTGCTGCTGCTGCTGCTGCTGCTGCTACCGGAGTAGAAAAAGGGGACACAATTGGGTCCAAGTTGAGTCAGGTTTAGGGGCAGAAGGAAGGGAGGGAGCTCTGCGGGATCTCCATTTTGCCCCTAACCAGTGCTTTCACAGGCCCTAAGGGGCAGTTTCTCGGGGAGGCAACCCGACTCCCTCCTGCCGGAGTTCCCCAGGGAGCGTGGCCAGGCCTCAAACCCCTGGCCCTCCTCCATCCTGGGCGTGGGGTGGGGTGGGGTGGGGAGGGATAAGTGGCTGAGCCCAAGGCCCCCGATACAGTCAGCTGATGAAATCCGAGGCCTAGGGCCAGCCCTACCTCCCACTCACCCTCAGGATCTGCTGCTGCTGCTGCTGTTGCTGCTGCCGAATGTGGTACTGCTGCTGCTGCTGCTGCTGCTGCTGCGGCGGCGGCGGCGGTGGCGGCGGCGGCGGCGGCTGCGGCTGCTGCGGCTGCTGCTGCTGCTCAGGCAAGATGGGACTGGGGCGAACCCCGGTGGGAACCCCCTGAGCACTCAAGGGGGTCATGGTCCCCATCATAGATGTTTGCTGTAGTGACTGGTGGGCAAACCTGCAGGACAGGGCAGAGCACCAAGGAAAGGAAAAGTCCACTGGTACCTTGAGCTGGAAGGGATCATCTTATCCATTCTCCTGCCTGCAAGGATAAGCATTCATCCCCAGCCCAGGCAGAATAGTCTCGGGCTCTTGAGAGACCTCCAGGGGGAGAGAGAGACAGCATCCTAGCACCTTGGCATTGTCTGCCTGCCTTTCCATGTCAATTCTTCCCGCTAGCCATCGGCAGCCAGTTTTCTGTCTGGGCTTCAGGGAGGAAGGAAAAGCAGGCCTTGGGAGTGGAGGACATGCACAGATTAGACTTGATCTGTTCATCAGTCTCTTTGCCTGGGCCTTGAAGATCAGAGACTTTCCCCATACCTCCCTCCTCTCGCAAGACTATGGTAGGTGAAGTTTTTCTCCTTCATTACCAGCCTTTGTATATGTGGATTCTTTCTTTGATTCTTCTCCCTTCTTCTGCCTCTTCTCTGCTTGCCCCCCTGGGCCCAGACCAATCGGCCTTTTCCTCTCTCGTCCAATACTTTCACTGCCTCAGAGACTCAGCTACGGCCAAGCCTTTCACCATCATCCCTACACCAACCAGTCCCAAATACAGCTACATCCCTCCAGCATCAACCTTGCACGTGCACCCAACTTCCTGTTTCCCACTTTTCCCTACCTCCAACTTAACAAGGTCAAGAATCAGCCAGTCATTCAAAGGCCTGCTGGGAGGATATACCTCCCTCCCTCCCTCCCTCCCTCCCTCCCTCCTCCCAGGAGAGTTGGGCCAAGCTACATGACAGAGATGTTTGCTGTTGGGCACAGACAAGGTCTGGAGTGGCTGGGAGCACTGACAAATGGCAGCAATAGTGTTTTTGTTTGTTTGTTTGTTCGTTTGTTTTTGGTTAGGCAACGGGGTTAAGTGACTTGCCCAGGGTCACACAGCTAGTAAGTGTTATGTGTCTGAGGCCAGATTTGAACTCAGGTCCTCCTGAATCCAGGGCCGGTGCTCTATCCACTGTGCCACCTGGCTGCCCCGAGCAATAGCATTCAGAAGCATCCAGAACTCCTTTGCAAAGGAAAAACAAATACCAAGCAAATGGTGGCCTTCCTCCTCACCAATAACGCCTCAGCTATCAACAGGCCCCCCTAGTGGGAAGATTCCCGGTCACCGATGGCTCTCGCAGGCCCCATATCCTCGGTGACAGAGTCACCAAGTCCTCTTTTGTCTTGTTCAGCTCTCAAATCCATCTCTTCCTTTTCCATCCCCACTGCTGCTACAATTAGTCCAGGTTGCCATCCCTTCCTTTTGTGCTCAATATGGCAGCCTCCTAGAGCTGCTCCCACCCCGCTACTGTCAGGCTCTTTCTCCCATGAGCCCTCTTCCACAACTGCGCTGGCATATTCATTTTTCTAAATCACTTATTTCTTCAGGTCCTCACCCTGATCAAAAACTGCCCATGGCTCCCTATTTCCTACTGGATCGGGTCTAAATACCTCAAGCCTGCCATTCAAGGCCTTCTATCAGCAGATCCGTCTCCCAATGCTTCCCAACACAATCTCGACCTCCAACTTGAGGCCAACTGCTCTCCTGACTGCTGCCCCTCTCCAGTGGTCTAGTCATTCCTGCCTCTGGACCTTTAAGGGCTCTGTGTTCTTGCATGGACAGTAACTATTATCTTCATACTCTGTGCCGCTCCATGGTCAACCAGATGCTACTTGCCCTTTTCCCCCTCCTGTTCCAGGCTTCTCCAGGCCACATTACTGACATAGCAAGGAATACTGGAAAGAGCTAGGGGTTAGGAGTCAGAGGAAGTGGCGTTGAATCCTAAGGGCTTTACGACTGCTGTAGATGCTTAACAACT